AATATAATCTATTTATATATATTATAATCTATGTATATAAATTATTAATATAATCTATGTGGTTATAGACAGTAAATATACTTACATAACATGAGTCCTTTCCTCCATTCCTGTCCCCTGCACATATCATGTTTTCTGTTACAACAGGGTTACTATTATAATGATTTTTGTCATTGCAGATTTGCCTGCTGAATACAGTGATATTGACTGCCCTCAGGGTATCAGAAGTCTTTCTTAGGCCATTGTGAGTGTATCCCCATCCTGCTACCGTGCAAGGTGTTCCTGGTTTGGGATCATCGTATGAGGTAGGCAGGGGAATGGGTTTCACAGCTTTAGTAAGTCTTGCGCTTTTGTTAAGCTGTAAAAGATACGGAAAAAAGTTATTACAGGGCAGAGTCTAACACAGGCACCTTCATGTTAACTGTTGGATCTTTTCCATTATGGTACTGGGGGTTACTGCAACCAGTTTTTGAGGTTCCTCAGTTCTTTGTGACAGGATTTATGTAATCAGTGTAAGACTGAGGAAAAGGAGTATTCTTTGTCTCGTGAAAACCTATTTAGCTTCTGCTGAAATGTTAGCTCTGTTTTACTCCTCCGACTCTCAGACCATTGGGAGGACAAAATAACAGTAATCTATGAATCTGGCAAAATCGAGAATCAGAGAAGTCAGAAATTTTTATTGCAAATGTTTTTCAGACAGAACTTTAGAGTTTTTAACCAAATTATTTCTGTGTGTGAAATACACTTCACTCTGTGGACAGTCTTTATTCTTTCACTGAAAAGCCAGAAACTGGAATAGCTTGGTCAAGCTCCAGAATTTTTCTACTTCTATCATAGGCATCCATTTCAGGAATTGTTGGTTGCCTTGGTTCCCGGTGCATCCCCAGTTCCCCCATCTACTGGATTAGCAAACCAGACTGTATCACCCCAGAAGAAAAGTCACCAGAAACAGCCTTTACTCATCTCCCTCACAAGAAGGAAGAAGCTGGTACATCGTAGCAGATGCATATTCCATAAGTGACGTGTAAATCTATACCTGCAGCAGCATGATGTCGTTTTCTTTAGAATTGGAACTGTAGCATTGGTAGGGAATTTGTTTTACAATCTCAAAAACCTGCTGTTCTCTTTCTTTTGCTTTGCGTGAATGAGCTCCAAGAATAACTTTTCCTCTTTTCCTGAGAAAAGGGACAACATGGTTAGTGGAATTCACTTGCTGTAACTCCATAATTCTTTGTTGTTAAATGTGGTGCTATAATGTCCAGCTGCTACAGAGTCTCTTTTCTCATGCCTGAAAAGCAACAGTAATTTAGAAAAAATATAAGAGATTACCCTGTTTCTACAAGTAGTTAAAAGAAAAACTAAGTGAATCAATATTCATGCTATCCTATTTTCAGCTTCCCAGGTGCATAGACAGGGTTCAGGTACTTGGGTCTGAAGCCACTCCTATTGTTTCCCTTTGGGAACTGAAGGAGGAGTGGATGCATCAGCTTTGCTGCTGGTAGTAGTCTCACCAACTGTGCCCTCTGCAATTTGTGCTGAAAATGAAAGAGAATAGCTCACAGCACTGTTAGTTCAGACACCATCACATCTGGACTGAATTGTTCCATTGCTTTGCTATAACACCATTTCAACACCATTTTCTGAGTCTCTGTAAGACATAGCACCTTCCCTTTATCTAACTTGTTCTGCAACTTCATATACTGACTAGATACTGAAATGGTGACAGTTGTGCCTGCTGAGGCTCACTGGTGTAGAAACCAGGAGTCTAGCAGTCCAAGCAGACTTTTACATCAAACCATGGGAATAGCTGTTTGTAGGAGAACGATGGACGTTACAGCTGAATGGGAGAATATTCTTTGAGCAGATGTGTAGATTGGCCCTCAGTTTCAACTTAGTGCAGCAAACACAATCCTGAGGAAGTGATTGCTCCTTTCCTCCAGCTCTTAAGAGCTGTCTGTTTACTGAGCATCATTAGGTTAATTATTTATTGTATTTTCTCTTTAATGCAATCTCATTTGGAAACGCTCTTTACCTTATGTTAATACGACAGCTTTTGGGCTCTATGCTCTCTTTGTCATAGGTCCCATATATCTCCCTATTTGGACAGGGACAGGAGAGATGGATGCGTTCCTCTGGTGTTTGCAGAGTCCGGTGGTTCACTAGTCCTGGGCAGGCCATGGGCAGAACCCGTGTGAGGTCTGTCTCAGCAGCACATCCAGTCCTCCCCGCAAAGGCAAGGGGTAGGACGTGTCATTTAAACCTCACATCTTGCTTTGCTGAGGGACTCTGCAGGGCCAAACAGCCATTTGCATCTTGAGTTAGACAGGAATAGGAAAGATTGGCTGACAAACCAACATATCCAGTAAAGCAGAGATCTCTCACTGTCTCCTGTCATCTGTCTGGAGAATTTTTGTTTGTGTAAAACTTCATACTGTCTCTTTCTGTGGTGAACTGTGTATCTTTTACAGAATAAAATGACAAGAATTCATTTCTGTTTTCTGAGCAGCTATTTAGACTGGCCAGTCCTCTGGCCTAGTGTACTGTTTGACTGAGAAAACAGGATAAACCTTTTCCCCAAATTCACTACTTGAGTTTTGCCATCCTGTGCTTGCATGCAGCTAGAAGCTTGTAAAGTATCTCTTCAGAAATAATGAAGATCAGTATACATTGTTATATTATTTTTTACTCACTGAAGCACATTTGTCAGTATAGATTGTAAAACACAGTAGTGAGAACATGACCATGGTCATGCTAAATGCACAAAACCAACAGGCTTACTAACTTTCCTTACTGAACAGGGACACCAGATTCTCACTAAGGACAATCTCTGGATCAGACTAAGAACTTACACATCACAGTGGGCAGCTGTTAACACCCAGTTTTTCTTGATCAGAGCTCCTCCACAAAGTTGTTCATCTGGTCCGATGATTAGGGCCATAAATGGTCTCGAGTGTGGTGCTACTTCAGTTCCTCCAATGATATCCACGCATAAACCTAAAAATAAAAATAAGCTGCAATACACACAGCTGGGCTAGAAAATACTGTGAGACATTCAAAGTCTCTTAGAAAAAACAGTTAATGTAATTACAAATTACACAGACACACAGATATGTATGTATGTCACAATGCTGGTCCTCAGGGTAGAGTTTTAAAATTGCTCGGCAGTACTACTTCTGTATGTTTCAATGGCACCAAAATTAGATCAGTGGAGTGAGCTTTGACAAAAAATACACCAAATTATTATTGCTCTCGCTCAGATTTCTTTTCCTGAAGTCCGCTGCTATGGTTAATTTCTTAGCTTTCATTGTGAGTAACAACCTCAAATCTGCCACATGATAAATGTTGTATGGTATGTGACTTATGTGGACATCTGTAACTGACCTATATGGTGTAAGTCTCATTACATGAACCTGTTTTTCAGAAAAACAGAAAATCAAGAGATTCGTGTATGAGTATGCCTCTGGAGAGAAAGGTCATTATGTTAGCTTCTCTGAACTCCTCCAAATAGCCTGTCCTCGGTGCAGCTTCAGTTAATGCTACCCATTCAGAAATCATTTTGTTTGTACAAAAGATCAAACACATGCAGACAGTGGGAAAGAGCTAATAATAAGAACTCGAATAGTAATTGTGACTACTTCCTTTACATTAATACATGTTGGCTTAACTGGAACTCTATATATCAGCAGTTACCTCCAAAAGGATGGAAATGGGCACTTACCTCCATGAATAATCAGGAGAATGACAGCAGCAGAGGTGAACAAAGCGAGGAAAGCTCCCATGATGTTCTGGGTTCCCCCTTATTCACTGTTTAACTTATATAACTCTAAAGGAAAAGGATGTGAGTTTTGGTTTTCCTTTTAAGGATATTTGACATTTGTAACTGTGACAAAGGCAAAAAACCTCCTCAACGATGTAGCTTGTAGCAGAGGTGGTAGTGAGAAATTGCATCATCTGTTGTGGTGTGAAGACAGGATCTGCTGCCCTTCATGTTCTCTCTGCAGCATTTGCAGAGCTAACACATGAGTACTGGGGTGAAACCTTGCAAGCAACTATGTGTCCAGTTACACAGTGGGACTCAGCTCACATAGATTTAGGCTTGATTCAGTTGCTCTCATGAAGATGTATAGTTTCATTCTAGACACCCCACGTGGCCTCCAGGTTAGAGATGAATCCCAGCCCGTTCCCCGTTAGAAAGTTATCTGTGCTGTTTGGGAGCTCCTTGAGGCCAAGGAATCTGATATTTGCTCCTTTCAGCACCTGATCCTACCTCATTAGTTCTGCACCAGATGGGCATCCATGTAGCACTGCATGTGTTTTAGTGGCCTAGAGCTAGGATTATAATGCCATTTAAAGTGTCTTAAGGTGTCTTAGATCTGCCTCCTGGCGCAGAAGGCCATGGGTCTTCTGTGGATGCTACATCAGATTTGCCAGCCCTGTGCCCATGTCTGGGAAATCCAAGGTATCTCAAATGTCACTAAATGCCTAGTTCTAAGAAACGGAGTTGAGTCCTGAAAACTGAATAAATCTTATTAGAGCTTTGTAAGGGCACAGTTCCTCACTTCCGATTTTATACCCAAATAACAGAAATCACTTCCATCAATATTAAATAATTTGGAGTATCAAATATTCTATTAACTAATTAGGTACATTCAGTGAAGCGTCACTGCCACACAGCCTGGAACATTTATTGAAGTCATGAGCCCCATTACAGTCGGCCTGCAGAAAGCTGCTGTGTTCTGGCTATGCCACATCTTTGAGCTCAGTTGGCCCAGCCTGATGTGACTTTTAGCTGTAGAAGACCTTGGACAGACAGCTGGCCCAAATTTGCCATTGCCCACCCTGCTGGGACAGAGGGTCATTCTTGGTGATTCCTCTGAAGAAGGCTGACATGGAGCTATTTTTAGAGATAGCAGAGCTCTTTGTCACTGCTGTGGCTCATCAGAGATGCTGTCATCTATGTGACATGGTGACAGCTACACGCACTGCAATATCACACCAAACTTTTAATTTTCTTTCATTTTTCTCCTCACTACCTGCACATCCCCTGTTAACTATCAGTTTGTAGCACTGACATTCATTTTTTCTAATGTTCTCCTGAACACAGTATTTCCAGGTATCATAGATACTATTCTTTCATTTATCATTCATAAATAGTTGCAAAAGTCTGATTTTATGACATCTTAATTAGCAGTCTCACCATATTGAAGCTGCTTCTTCTCTGAACTATGCACAGACATGATCAGGATGAGCACTTGTTAGGAAAAATCCTGTATCCTGAGGCCTGCTTAAACTCATAGTACAACAATGATTCATCCTTGAATACTCCTATATGAGGTGCCATGTCTAGTGAAAAGAGGTTTGGTATGTATCATACAATCTATTTTCAAGAAAGAACTACTTGGGAGACACAGAGTAAACCATTAGCAAATGTTCCTAAGTGTTTTCCAGGCAACTAAGATAAATCTATTCCTGCTGTCTAAAAACAAATCTTCTATAGACTGTTTGTATTTCTTTTCAGTATCTAAATGCAGTCCTATTTACTTCTAAATCCTACTTCTAAATATATTTTCCTGTAACTCCATAAGTATTAGCATACACACACCTTTTAAAAGATCCCCTCTAACCCTGAGAGATCCCATTTACGTTGATAATTAGAATTAGGAATATGCAGTCCAAAACACTGATTGATAGCAACTGATCACTTTCTGTGGAAGCTCCTTCTGAGCAACAGCTCTGACTATCACATTGTTCTAACACTGGTTGCACAAGTGTTAAAGATCAGATTGATATGCACATAATCAGCCTCTAGTTTTGTACCCAAATGCTTTTGTTAGAGTCTCTTCTTCAGCTTATAACTTAGGTAAATAAGGCTGAAAAGCTGACATAAAATTTTAGCATGTACAAGTTGGCCGGGCTTCTTTGGTTATGGCAATAAGTTGATTTATACTCAAGTTTAGATTTTATTGGCCTTTTGCATGCAAAGGGAAACCTCAAAGCAAAACTTCCTTCTCTATTTGAGTGCATTGTCAAATTCTTTCATTAGCTCCTCTGCTGCATAAGCAACTGGTCTTCAGGTGGACTGATGTGTAAGCAAAATGTTCCATCCTTTCCCCAGCAAAGCCCATGAGGGCATAGCCACTCTCTCAGCAGGACCCACTGCCTGAGTAAAAGAAAGAGTCTATCCAGCTTCTATTTCTAGCCTTTGCCTTTGAGGAAATTTCCCATGGGCATTAAGCCCATGAGTCAGTGGATCACTTTCAGCTCTGTTCTACACTGTGTCGAGCGCTTCTGTCCTTGTCTTGTACTCAATGGTTTTGATAATTTTGCTTCCTCAGTGACTATGCTCCTTTTTCCTTCATGCTGCTTGCTGTTATGCTATGAAGGTGAACATCATGTGTGATTTTAGGAGACCAATTCAGAAGACCAGTTTAAACCACAGCTCTAAACCTTCCAGAGCCACTGGGTGCCTGAGTTCAGGCAGCGTCTTAGCTCAGCTGCAGGGCTGGTGCCTGGTTCTGGGGCAGGGAGGGCAGGAGGGTGGTGCAGAGTGGGCAGCTGCCAGGAGCACAGCAAGGCAGACCTGGGGTGCCTTCTCTGTCTCCTCCCTGGGCTTCCCCATCCCCGACCTCGCTCCAGTGTGTTTGCCTGGACAAATCCCTTAGTGGTTGGTGGTCGTGCTCCCAGGGACTTGGTGAGGAAGGGACAGGACATATGCTGGGATGCCTATTTTACTTTCTTCTGTGATACCAGGTATTTACCTGTTGTCTTTTCTGGCTCAGCTATTTGCTCAGCTTCCCTATTTTCACCTATTTACTGCGTGATATCAAAGAAAAATGTAGTAGCACAGAAATACAAGTAGATGTAGTTGACTTAGAGAGTCCCCAAAGCCTTGTAGTGAATCAGTATTACTTCTATCAAGTTGAATATACTTGCCAGAAAGAATCCAGCATTAGATATTATGCTCTGGAAAAACAAGCCTTCTCCTGTCTGGTCAGAACATGAGTCTGTTGCCCATTTTGTCTCTTAGGCTGCTTTCTAAGCTAGCCACTTAGTGGGAAGGCAAAGCCACAAGGAACTTGAACATAGCTATGCCTTTAGGACCCTCTTTGCAGAGATATCCTCCAGTGGGTGATTAATCCCAGGATTAGCTGGAGGACGGAAAGTGATTTTGAGGTAACTAGAGCTGGCTTTTTTATGAGCTGATGAATTCTAAATCATTCTAAGCTCATCCATATGAGCTTTGGAAGAGTTTTGTGAAATATGAAATGTGTTACATTATGTTGCATCATGTACATGTTTTCAAACTGGGTTATAAGGAGTAATATTCTGTGCCATAGAAATAAGCATTTCAATGCTGTAATCTCATTCAACAATCTGGAGAGCTGCTGTTCTTTAACTCTTGGATAAAAATGAGAGCTAGCTGTATCATGCAAGTTACATTTCTGATTCTTTCTAAAGGTACTTGAGATCATAGTAGGCTTTTTAAGTTCTTCACAGCAGGGCATGCTGTTTTTCGTAGTGGTTTACCAGCAAGGCATGCAAAACATGGGTGCAGACACTGAGGTCTGCAATACAGAAATGTCCCTCCCACCACTGTGTCCTTTTGTCTTTTTCTTGTGAACGCTGATTGGATATTTTGCTTGCATTTGACACTTGCACACTGTAGGGTTTTCTGCATCTGAATCCTGCACCCTCAAAAGTTACTGCTAAGAAAATACCAATTGCTCTGCCCTGATGTGTGTAGCATGTCTTTTATGTCAGTTGTTCCTAAACTTAATCGGAAAACAAATGCCTGCCAATTCTCAGTGGCTCTCATAAACTTCATGTATGAATCTTTTTCAGTCTTTCCACTGAAAATGTTACCTGCAGAGGATTTGCTGGCTGCTGCTATGTCTTGATCCACAGTTTGGGAATTACTTTTTTACTTTACTTTACGTGCCCTGACTTTTCCTTCCCACTGGTGTTCTGTGAAGTCTTTTCAGATGACCCTTGTGTTCGTTCTCCCATTTGTTTGCCTGCTTGAAGAAGGCCAATTTCATTATTCTCACGTATTTCCTTTTTTTTTTTTATTTCTTTAAAGAGTGTTGAATTCTCTGAGACACATTTTATTACATTCATCCCATGTAATGCTCAGGAATTTTCTTATGTGCTTGTTTTCTAATATAATGCCTGTGGTGAAAGGCTGCTGAAGTTCCTGTAAGATTAGACCAGTTAATATTGACATATGTTGTGGATTCAAGAAACAGGCAGGTTTTAAAGAAACCTGAAAAAAAGAACTTAAAGAAACCAACTGCAGTTAAAATAATGCAATATTAATGATGTAAAAGGAAACTTCAAGAGAGAGAGCTATTCTTAAAATGTTTCAACCACCATTTCCTGTAGGGGACATTTAAATAGAAAAGACTATATTGTAATTTACAGTGTTCTTGTCAGTGAATAGCAGTAGCTATGACAAGCCACCTGTTAGCTCCAATTGCTGTTATCCTACCCCCGAGACGTAAGTACTCCTCTAAGGATAAAAATATCCAAATTCCCACTTCCTCTGGATAACACGTAACGTTAATTGCACTTCTGTTGCATTTCAAATGGCTGCACAGAGATTATCAGAGGACACATCATGCATCCTCATTCTTGGCCTTGTATGGCTGCTATTCAGGCAAAGAATTTAACTGCGTATGGAGGAGCTCTTGTGGAAAAGCAATAGGTTTTGACAGCAGCACGTTGTAAATATCTTCTACTGAGGCAATTTTAAGTCTTCGTTGAGGTAGGGCATGGCATG